GAATGCAAACCTTTGTTATTTACTAATTTACCACATTTTCGTTGAGTAGGAAGAGGAATGAAGAAGGAAACCTTTACTTCTGGAAATATTCGCTGAAACCCTGATAGGGTCTAAGCTTGGAATCACTTAATGAATTGACTTTCTATTGGGACAACTCCGTCTTTTTCCTCAGGTTTGACAGGTTTTAAATCCATATCTCTGATGTTTTTTGCCAAAGGTTTTGTCGCCCATCCATTTCCATAGTTCTTTATGGCGTTCTGGACATGCACTTGAATTTATTCATTCTCCTAAAGCACACCGTGCTGTCGAAACCAAAACCAGTCTTGCACAGTAGAGGTGTAATGCTTTGGGCCAATTGTCCAATACAAAACGAATGGATATGCAACTCCCTCCAGAATCTAAATACCTGGACACGTCCGCATTCATCAATTTTCGAATTTTATGCGGTGGTCCAGCATCTTTCACGGACTACCGTAATCGACCATTCACCTTACTTCACAGATGGGAGACGCTCTTAATCGAATCCTTTTCTGTCAGGTAGCCACACGTGCGTTGTACTGTCGTTGGCAAATATTGTCAAATATTCCGAATTCACCTCATTGCTCCAGATGACCTTAGAGCTCCAGTTCGAGAGTGTGCAGACCGACCCTTTCCCCTATCACTTCACTGTCGAAAACTTCATAGGCTTTACGAACTGGTGAACGCGTATGTACACAGTCAGATTATTGAAGGTGTTATGTATCTGTAGGTATGGGGAGACGTGCGTTTCTCCTCCTGGGGTCGCCGCCGCGCCGCCGCACGCGGCGATCGACGCGGCGAAGGCTGTGGTGGTTGGATGTGGCGGTGTGGCGGGTCGCTCGGCACATCGCTGGCATTTTCCCAAGTTTCGGACTGTCGATTGATAGACTGCTATTATCCGTTAGACCACTACTGTTTTACTGAAGGATTGAAGGTGGTTTGCTCAATTTGAAGTAATTGGAATCGGTTTATAGAGGTTGTGTTCCATGCACTCACAATGCCAATAGAGGATTTATTAGCGGTGGAAACAATATGGTTTTAGCCCTCTTCCACTC